TACCATACTTTATGATCTACTAAGGGAATCACACTTTCACTCCAAGAAAGCAAAACAAATATTTGATCTTTAAAACATGAATAGAGATATCCACATGTGCTACCTTTTAGATTTCATTTTAAATCTCACATTCAAAACCAGAGTCAGGAGGGGACTTCCAGTCAGACGGTGGAACAGATGGTACCCAGCATCACCCTCTCCCACATCAACCAGTGAACTGCTATTAAAAAGCAATGACAGCCAAGCTGGGGCCTCTAGAGCTTAGAGGAAGAGGAAGACAGACCTACGGAGTTTATGAAAGCAGGAGAAACCATGATCAGAGAAAGAAAGAAAACCACTCCAACTGTTTCAAGCCCCGACCACTTCAAGGCTGGCCCTGGTGAGCACATGGAGCAAGAGCTGGTAAAAGCCACAGATATGCCCTTCATATGAAGTTGCTTGGAGGTCACTGGGGTGAAGAGGGCCTTGGTGGCTCCCAGGCCAGCAAGACCACTAACAGTGTTCCTGTGGACCCACATAGGAGCGAGGAGCCACAGACAACTGAAAAAAAAAAGCTACTCAGAGGCTGGTGAGTCACCACAAGGGACTGGCCCATCCCATAGGAAGTGTTTGGAGTGCGGGCAGTGGGGGAGATGGGCCCACCAGGGGAACTTGGGGTACAGCATGCACAGCTGATCTGTTCTCCAATTAGCACAGGCCCACTCAGAGGAGACTGTCAGGAATACAAAACTGCAGTGGGTGCAGTCTGCTGAAAACACTCAGGCCCAGACCAGAGTTTCCACACAACCCAGGTGTATCAGATCTCACAAGAACCAGAAGTGCTTACAAGTTCAACAATTAAAACCTGAGCTGCACAAAAAGCCTTTCCCAGAAAATCAACAGCAAAGCAGCAAATTTAGCTCAACCACAGGGCTCAAGTGCTGGTTCCGACAGGAAGTCCCCCCGTTTTAAAAGTAACCAAAGGACAATGAATTAGTTCCAGTGCAGAGTTTAAGTGGTGGGAATAGCAAATAATCCAAAACAGAACTGAAAGAAAAAATAAAAAACTCACAGATCAGAGACAAAGTTCTGATATTAACCAGTAAAGGTATAACACCACCAAAGAACACCTGTAAAACCTAGAAGGATGAGAAGTCCCCCAGGTTCCCAAGCCAGGGTGAGAGCCAAGGGCCTCAGCCACTCTACCCTAATGTCCACATCCAGCCCAGTGATGACCACGGAGCTGCCACGGGAAGTGCCCCAGGCTCCTGAGCAGGGCAGGTGTGGGGGCCGAGGGCCTCAGCCACACCCCTTGACATCTGCACCCAGCCCAGCAATGACCACAAAGCTGTCACCAGAAGTGCTCCAGGCTCCCCAGCCGCGCCACTGCTGGGGCTAAGGACCTCAGCCATGCCCCCCTGACGTCTGCACCCAGCCCAGCAATGACCATCAAGCTGCCGCCAGAAATGCCCTGGGCTAGGGCTGGCCTGTGACTCACTTAGGAGAGTGTGGTGCTGATAACACCAAGGCCACAGGTTCAGATCCCTATATAGGGATGGCTGGTTAGCTCACTTGGGAGAGCGTGGTGCTGACAACACCAAGTCAAGGGTTAAGATCCCCTTACCGGTCATCTTTAAAAAATAGTAATAATAATAAAAATAAAGAAATGCCCTAGACTCCTGAGCCAGGGCAGTGTGGGACCAAAGGCCTCAGCCACAACCCCCCGACCTCTGCATCCAGCCCAGAAATGACCACAAAGCTGCCGCCAGAAGGACCCCAGACTCCCAAGCCACGGTGGTGGAGGGCTAAGGGCCTCAGCCACACACCCCCAACATCTGCATCCAGGACAGCGACAATGGAGCCATTGTCTTCTTTCAGAAGATCTGAAAACACTCCCCTGCCAGAATGAGGGGGTGCCATAGGCCTTCACCAAAACCCCGCTTCTTTCTCCTCCTCCCACTCTGCCGGAATGAGGGGCTCCCCTGCCGGAATGAGGGGGTGCCCTGGGCCTCAACCATAACCCCACTTCTTTCCCTTCCTCCCACCCTACCTCCTCCCTCCCATTTCCCCTCTCCCTGTCCCCCACAACTGCTCCACAACATCTTAAAATGTAAATAATAGTAAATTAATTAACAAAACAAAACAAAACCAGAGTCACGTTGCCCTTTGCACTCCATTACCCACAAAACTCTCATAGACAAAAAGCAAGCAAAAACCCTCCAAAACCACAATATAAGTAAGTATAAATAATACCAGATTGTTTGGATAGTTTTATCTTAGCTTAAGACTGAAAAAAGTAGCAAAAATTTTCTCTGTTCTATAAAGCCCCACTAGCCATTTATCAAAAGATATGAGCCCAATGGTCATGTTCAAAATGCAATAAAATCAGTGGGTGGCAAAGATAACAGAACAATTTCTATAACTAATGAACATGAAAACACTGTACCTTCTGAATCAGATCAGCTCCTCCTGCAAATGCAGCTCCATTTTCTTCTGCTATTTGAATCTCTGATGCTTTCTACCAAAACACAATTCAAGTGTGAAGATCAATCTTTAATTTTAAACAAATTTAGTCTGCTTTCAAGTATTTTGTCAGAAATAATATCACA